TAAGTCTGGGGTGTTGGGTGGCAGGTGCTTGTCTGTTTGAATTCTAAAGTCCCAGAGCACTTTAGCTTCTTCATTTTCAGTTACTGTTTTGTGGTCCCACCAGTTCTTGCTTGCAGGCAAATGGTATTTCTTGCAGATATTCCGATGCACCATTGTTGCAACTTTGTCATGCCGTTGTTTCTAGTCAGTCTGTGCAATCTTCTTGCAGCAGCTAACTAGGTGTTTACTGTTTCTTCAGCTTCTTTGCAGAGTGGCATTTGCTGTCTGTTGCTGTCTTCTCAATTCTGACTTTATATGCATTTGTTCTTAAGGCTTGGACTTCTGCAGCCCTCTGTGTCTTTCTTTAGCTTTCCTGCTTTTAGCCATTGCCATTATTATTATATTTTATTATATATTTTATTATATTATTATAATTTATTTATTTTTATTATGCCTAATCACAAAACATCTCAAGGCAACAGCAAACTCAAGGCAACAATACTGCTTTTATCATTCATATGCATTACAGCTGCATATGCATTTATATGCTTGTTACAGCTTCAAATTCCACTGATATGTTAGATATATCATGTAAAAATTTGCTTACATATTTAGTCTATTATTTTTAAACAATGGCATATCCTATATGTATTTGTAGTATGAAACAGTCTTTCAGCCTTTGAAAAGAAACAATAATATTATCTGGAACTACAATAATCTTAACAACAACTGTAGATAAACATAAATAGCTAGTGTTAAACTGATACGTAACAACTTTGTAACTGGTGATAGCTGCATATTTAAACTTGTAACTTACTAATAGGGCAAAAGTGACATACAATGAAATGTGCATTCTGACACAGACTCCACCATTTTGTACTTGTGTCCCATGCAAGTACTTAAACAGTGAGCTTGCACTGTGACATCACAACTCATATTTTATTATTTTGATGAAATCTTGGTTTGCTATGGATGCCACTGAATTTGACCTGAATGTGAACTGCACATCCTTACATTTTCCTTGCTACCGATTAAAAAAAAAAAAAGTTGCAATCACCAGGAAACAATTTGTTCTGCTTTCTGAGATATTATTAAAATGAAAATAATTCTAGGTATATTAGGTTGACATATGGCAATTGCTACGGCATATGCTAGGCAAAATAACAATGACTATACTGTATGCCTTAAACAGTATCTCTAGGGGTATTTCAATAATCTGCAGCAAAGAATCTTTCTAAGCTTTCAAGTTCAGTGAACATGTCCAGAGAGAAGTCAAGCTCTACCACAAACCATGCACATTCTTAAGACTGTATGCAAAGGAATAGGAGTGTGTGAATCAGCCCTTAACTGATTTCTTACCTGTGCATCTGATTTATGATTTGTGTACCACTTCAAAAACTAGGAATAAAGTTTTAAGATTAATGCTATGAATCAGTATTATATCAAAGGCATATTATTATATTGTGTCTTTTTCAAATTGCAGAATAAATATTGGGATTTTTTTTAAAAAAAGACATACATCATTAAATAAGAGTATTAATCATGTGTTGTGTTTTCATTCACAATAAAAATGAAAAGTACTATACTTTTAGGTTTTGCATTGGGAAGGTACAGTAAATAAAGGCACTTAATTAATTTAAAGTAACTTGCATGCCTTGGCTTGATTTGAATGACTGATTTAGCTACTTTTGTGCTTAATAAGCACTCCAAAATGCAGACATAAGTAATTCGGATATGGAAAAGTTACTTGTGAACCTTGGACATGTTCTGATAGTCGGTAGAACTAAATTCTATGGAATTTGATTAACTAGAGTATTCCAACTATTTGCACTGCAAGGTCTTGTGTTAAAACATGTTGATTATTTCTTAAGCATTGTTTCAGTGTGCTTTGTTGAAGAATTTCATTAATACAGATTAGTCCCTTTATTAAGCCGTGGTTAATTGGAGTCTCTGAGCTTGGTTAAGTACCTTCAGAAAAGTGGATTAGTTGCTTTAATTTTATGTTCCTTCATAGGAAAAAAAAGGCTGTACAGAGTACAGTAATTACTTTTTCTGTTGGACAAGAAAGGGAAAAATGACTACATTTATGTATTTAGTGAAGCATTTTTAGTTTAGAGTGTCTAGTATAGCTTTTTCTGTCCAAGTTAGAATTTATTAATAGCCTAGTAATATAAGGATGATAAATTGGATCACAACAGGCCCCATCTTGATCTACATCTGTTCTGACAGACCATCTGGGAGTAGACAATGTGTCTGTTGGCTATGCATCTGCAGGTGGGAACTGCATGGAAGCGCTATGCTGAATCTCATAGCCACATCTATGTATGCTGAATGTGCACGCATGTAGTGTCTGTTTTCCCAGTCTGCTATGGTTTCTTACTTAATGCAGTCCTGACAATGGGATATGAACATGCAGAGGCAAACCTTAAACAGCATGCCAAAGATTTGGAAGCCTAATTAAACCTAGCTGTCAGACTCAGAATTGTGTTCTTGGGTGGTCATTTACCATTTTTTAAGCTGGCTAGATATCTAAGCCAAATACAAGTTCCTAAATTCAGAAGATCCCTAATTCTGGCAAGATTTAATACCCTCCCAACAGCTGTTCTCAAGGGGAAACTATGGGGCATTCCATTTGAACAAAGACTTTGGCCCTCCCATGAAGAAGTCCCTGAAACA